ATTTTGAAAGAAAAATAATATCCAAAATTAAAATAGATACAATTAATGTAAATTCAGTGGAATCTAGTTGTCCATCCTTAACGGCTTATACTTAAAAAAGAGAAGATTAACTCGTGAAAATCAAATAGGACGGAAATACATTCAAAAGGGTTTGTTGGAATGTTTATCTAAGCAATAGACTTAGTTAGGAATCCTTTGAAGAATTTATACCTTCACATTTGAAATTTATGCTAAATTCTTACCTTCTTCTCAGTGAAATATTGATTTTGACTGTACAATTAACCTAACGTCGTCCTTATTTTTTGAATTTTGATTCTCTTCTTTAGTTTTTCTTATTCTACCCCTTTTTCTTTGCTGGTATTTAGGTCTTTTTTTGGTGTGCAAAATTGAGCATCCACCGAGCGAGAGAAATAAATGAATTAAGAATAAATTTGAAATCTTAACGCATAAATGTGATACAGTCTAAAATATATGGCATGATCTTTTAATCTCAAACGGTAGAGCATAATTTTCAAGAAATAAAAAAAAAAATACACACGCACAAACAATAATTGAAAATCAAAACGTTACTTCTTCTTTTTCTCTTTTCCTATTATTTGTGAGAGTATAAAATATTCCTCTTATCTAGTAGGTTGTCTCAATTAAGGGGTCTTAACATAATTTGTCCCCAGAATTTATTGTGGTTTAACAAATTACCTCTTAAATTTTCAATTTTGACAATCGACTCAAAAACTTGTAAACTATTGCAATGTTCTCCGTTGACGGTGGAAATTCGTCCATAGAATAATGGCAAATTTCTTCACGATTAACATGAATTAAATGAAAAAACACAATTAAAAGTAATTAAATAGCAAGAACACACAAGAATTATAGTGGTTCACCCTCGATTTGAGAGCTACATCGACTGTGGAGAGGAGTGGAAATTCACTAGTATGGAAAAGAATACAAATACTAATGCTCAGAATGAGACTTAGGCATTTTCTAACTCATAATCCATTATTTATACTCATAGTCACCGCTCATATCCTTCTTCTTATTTCAATTTGGGATACTTCCCTTATCTTTTGGGATAGTTTCTCAAAAGATAGATATTACAATCAATCATGATGGTTTCCTAATTTAAATTTCATATATTTGAATTAGATATAGCAAATCTCGCGGATCTTATCTTCTTGTCTAACCTCGACCTTGTAAACACTTTCAAAAGTCTCTTCGTCTATGATTGCAGGTTACGGTCAACCTCATACTTGTTCTTTGTGGCTTCTCAAAACGGTCGATTTCTTACTAATAGCAGGTACATTCTTTTAGCGGTCGACTACTAAGAAAGCAATCTATTGATGTGGCTCTTAGGGCTGAGTTGTCATTGACTATTTAATGCTCTTCTTTATAGCATGCGGGCCCACTCAGTGTCTAAATTTAGGGTTCGGCATTTTATCCTACAACATTATCCATTTTATTAAATTTGTTCAAAAAATTTTTATTATATTTAAGGTATTAAAAGTTGAGCAATTTAAAGATTTGTATTATATTTAAATTGAGATGTTAGAATTTTCGTTGAACGTGTTTTTTCGGCACTAATTTCATACAATCATCGTCAAAGGGAACATATTGCAATAATTTTACAAATTGACGGGACAACTTGTTAAAATTAAAAGTTTAGGAGGCAAATAGTTAAAGTTATCGGAGTTTAGGCAGCAAATATGTAAAATACCTCTCAATTAATTATTGGAACAGTCAAATTATACTCGTATCACGCTGCTCGTATTGTTCATTATAGTACTGTATTTTATCTATTTTGGAGCTCTAATTTTAGCAACGTATTTAATTGAAAAACCGTTAAACACGTGAACGTACTCAAAACAGCTAGTATTAAGGCATTTTTCTCGTAGATAACACAGTCACCGACGTCACGGGACCATTAATCATTTTGCAAAGAACACCGTCACGGTGGTCCTGTCTCGTTCCAAAAGTCTTCCAATATACATCCATGAACAATCCCAGATTCTTAATTGTGTGGATTAATTTTTTTAGCGTCCCAAGGACATACACCATATATATATATATATATATTGAGATTGCTAATATTTATTTCCACTAAGGCGAAACTATGACCCCCCAACTTTGGGGCTTGTATTGTATGGCACAGACTCTCCACGTTATTCTCGATAATACTAATATGCACGCGCTGTTGTATTTTTGTTTCTACTAGCACATGCGCTTTAATTTCATTTCTCCGACCCACGTCCAGTTTTTCTTCTAGACTAGAAAAGGATAGTTTGTTTGTGTTGGACGCTTATCCTTGTATTATTAGCTTAGAGTAAATATACTAACATCCACGATGTATTAATTGGAAGCTTTTTCTGTGCTTTTAGTTGATTAGGATGGTCCTACTCATGACGTAATGAAAAATAATTTGTATGTATCTCCATATTTTAGTATGTTTTTGCGTATGCATGCACGATTATAAGGCAACGTATAATGTGTACTGAATAATTATAACTTGACTATATACGAGTATGAACGAACGTGCATGCTTTTACACATAAGTAAATGTATATTTGTTAGCCCAACATTCTGGCTGAACTACAATATATATATATATATATATATATATCATGCCCTTGCACTCTGTTCTTATAGTTAACGGAAGAAAAAAATAAAATAAAAAATAAAGCGAGATGATCAGCATTTGGGTGTATTAGTACATTTATATATGTGCATATACATATATATATATATATATATATATGGTACACGCAACTGATACAAGTGTCAAGATATGGATATGCACCATGATTATAACGCATACCTTATAATTTCTAGACCAGGGACCATCATTTATTGAAGTTCCATGGCTCGTATATTATATCTTCGCTCGTCTTAGGTGGGGCTGTGTAATTTATGCGTAGCTATAATATGTTCCCCTAGAGAGAGAAGTTATTTCAAGAGAATCTCTCTTTCAATTTTCTTATAAGTCGCTTGCTTCATTAGCAGATTAAGGAATGTAGACGGTGATTGGATAGTACAGTACTAATTTTCCAAGGCTATTAGACCAGAAACTTCATGTCCAATAATATTTTGAATTATTGATATTTTTAAGAGATTATTGTAATCATGCATGAACTACTATAATAATTTAACATATATTTATTCACATAAGCAACTCATGGGAGCTAGTTCTTCAAAGAAAAAGTCCGTACATATATAATGACACTCCAGGCCAGGTCATTGTCGAGGTTGGGGACGCTACCTGATAGAACTTCTGTTGATAGTTACCTTAAGAAGAAAGTTTGCAGCACGACGAACATCTTCATACATAGGACTCTCCAACTTTTGTTTCCATTAGAATAACTTTATTACTATCAATCTATTTATCTTGATACTATACGAAGTGTACTATCATGTATTGTACGACACTAGTGGAGTTTGTTAAGTGCTAATTTGGTTTAGCAACATTATTTTTCGTTTAGCAGTTTGTTTTTCTGAGTAAAATTGTTTCTCCTATCCTCTTCAGTTATCAGTTATGCATAGTTTTGTTTTATAATATGGCTGAGAACTTCCCAACTGTTAACTTGGTGATTGCTTGTTCAAAAATAAAAGAAAATTTTATTTATTTTATTAATTTAAATTTTTAATTTTAATTTTATTCCAATTAAAAATAATTTCATTTTCTACGACAACAATAGTAATGATAGTTTTTAATGCATTTGACCTTTTTTTTTTTCCTTTCCGAGTAGTATTTGTCAGAGTTATTTGTTCAACTCCTCTTTAAGTGTCAGTTTTCAGTATCCATCACTCCCAGTTCTCTATGTGTGCTTGACAGCAATTCTATGCTATTCCTTATTTTTCTTATTTATCAATTTTTTTTTTTTTTTGCTTTTTTCGGTCCTTAATTATAGATCTTTTGATCAGAGAACGTACAATATTAATTTCTTCAAAGCCCCTATTCCTTAGCCAATCTATAATAGCTATAGTACTACGCCTACTCCCAGAAACACGATCTTTCTCAACTAAACATATATTAATGTAATTAAGCTTATCTGTTAATTAGTTGTCTTTCTAGTTTCTACACCTAATCTTACGGAGCGTTGTAGTATAAAAATTCATATTATGATTCGAATCATAATTCATAATTTATTATAATATTTTTTTTTATAAAAAATATATTTAAATTAAAAATAATTTTAAATTTATAAACTAAACGTATACTTAATTCGCATAAAGCATATACACCATATTTAGATTTATTATTATGGCCTACTGGACAAAAACGAGTCGGTTAAACAGGGAATGCAAATTTAAATGTAAGGTTTTTTTATTTTTCTTCTTTTTATTATTATTTTTTTGTTTAGAGTTTGTGTTTCGTATCGTGAATAAAGACTGGACTTCGTGCAGGGGAACAGAGTGTGCGATTGCGGCGCAAGGGGTAATATGGTAATTGCGGAACACGCGTTCGGTATGGACGGCAGGACGTCTCGGCTTTTGGTGGTTCAACAAGAAAAATTTAGTCGCCCGGTCTTCTCTCTCTGCATCAAATCAGGTCGGTGGGTCAATACGATGGCACCTTGGAGAAAATATGGTCGGCAAGAGAGGCAATCTTGTAATTCTACACGAATTTACGATACGGACAAGAATCAGCTTTTTTTCGAGGTTTGACAGCAAAACAAATAAATATTAAAAAAAATTTATGTAACGCCTGACTGTGCAGTTTTGAGCAAAAAAAAAAAAAACAAAAACAGAGAGAGAAATAGGGAAGAAAGAATCGCCGGAACATATTAACCCGGCGCACGTTAGACTCATCCAGTGATCAGTAGATTTTGTGCTTAAAAGTTATCTTTTTTTCTGAATTCGTTGATTTACAAAGAATGGAGACAATGCGCACAGGGGAAATGTTGAGCGCATTGATTGTTGTATTTACATGAATCAGTTGGTCGCCGTTTCTTTTGACAGTTTGTACGGATCATCTGAACGGACATTTGAATTATTACTTATATAAACAGTTATTGAACTAATCTGGTGGTCTCTCGGGTATTACGCTTGCCTAACATCTTCCTCGCCGTGGCTCTGAATGGACACGTGGAGCTGACGAAGTTCTCCACCAAGTGGAGATACGTCCCCAGCTCATGACACGTGGCAACGTTGAATCCGCTGCCTAGGAGATACGGAGAGTCTCTGCTGCTGAGCCTCAGTTCCTTTCCCACCTCGGCGTAAACCCAAGGGGTGTCTTCCACCCTCTTCTGTATCCAGCTCGGTAGGCTTGCCACGCGGACGTCTTTGTTGGACTCCACGTGGCTATCTCCGCCGTCATTTTCGTCGAGCACGAACCCGGGTACTTTTGTGATCAAGTCGTCTGAGTTGACTATGCGGAGGATTTTGGTGCCTTGCTTCTCCAGTTGGGACCTGAAGTTGCGGTTCCCAACGCGAGGCCCGCCGAAGGAGATGACAGTTACGAGTGGGGTCCTCTTGAAGTGGGTCTTGATGTCATAAGCCGCGAGCGTCGCCAGCGCTGCCCCGAGGCTGTGACCGGTGATGGTCAGGCTGAGCGGCTCGTCTCCGTAGGATTGGAGGAGCCTGGCGATTTCTGCGCGGACCATTTGCTGGAGAGACTCGGCGCCGGAGGTGTAGAGGCTGAGGAAGCCGCTCTCGACCATGGAGCCGTCGTTGACGGGGCTGACGTCGGTGAGAGTGGCGCGGAGATTCTCGAGCCACTCGAGCGGGGTGGCGGTGCCGCGGAAGGAAATGACGGCGTCGCGGCGGCCGAGTCGGGCGATTTCTTCCTTGTCTTGGCAGACGGCGACGTAACCGATCCAGCTGGACTGGGTGGCGACCCAAGAGGGAGCGCGGTCGACCCAGCGGGGGAGTTGGATTCCGGAGGTGGCGCGGAGGTTGCGGGTGAGGCGGTAACCGGTGTCGGGGAGTCCAGAGCGGTCGAGTAGAGAGCTCTTGGGGAATTTGCAGGTGGCGTAGGAAGAGGAAGAAGGGTCGAAGTCGAACGACTTGTATGCAGCGTCCACAAACTTGCCGTAGCGGAGGATTTCGCGTCGTAGATTCTCATCCAGCGGGTCCAGCAGCCCATCCCAGTTCCTTATCCCTTGGTACTCCTTCCATCTCTTACTCAGCGATGATGATCTTAAAGAAGAATGCTGATGATCATCAACTGGGCTGCTGAGCAGATTTTCCCAGTCGTTGATTCTGTGTTGACGGTCGTGATCACGATCCACGGTTAGCTTGGGTAGTCTCAGATTCTTTGTTGTAACTAGCTGATCAACGAGAGTGCACCGAATAACTGACATTTTGATCACTTTTGGAGCAGCTGTTGTTTTGAGTGTAGTAATGCATGGCTGAACTGTTTTAATACAGGAAAGCTTCATTTTTTTTTAAATGTTATTGATCCGCACTCTCTGTAGTATGTTTCAAGAGTTTTCAAAGGCTAGCCACAGAGAGCCTCTGAAAACATCACACAAACACAGAGAGAGGGAGAGTTTTCTGACGAATGCTGAGTGTGGTGAGTTGCAGGTTAAGTCTGAAGTTTGAGTGGGAGGCTTTTTATACTTGCAGAAAGCGTATTTGTGTAGAGAGAGAAAGAGAATAGGGTAGAAAGAGAGAGAGAGAGAGAGAGAGAGAGAGAGTTCCTTTTGTAATGAAAAGTGGTGTTTCATAAGTTCCTTTTTTGATGAAAAGTGGAAGTGTTTCATACTGTATGGAACTGGTATGAGAGAGAGTGTGTGGGTACTTTTCTTGGTGGGGGTATAATACATGGACAAGATTTTCATAACTAGAAAAACCGCACTGGGGCCCACGTTAGATTAAACTGACGGCTCCGATGAAGCGGGGGTACACCAATCACACCAATGTAGTCCACTTCTTCCAATCAAGCTGGATAGTTTGACTATACAAACTCCCCAAAAATATTTTTGAAAATAAAAAAAAAAAATTTAATCACTTTCCGACCGTATTAGATTTAGATCTACGTTAACTCCTCGCGACTCGACTCAGCTCGGCTCAGCTCGGCTTCATTTTCCATTATTTTTTATTTTCAAATAATTATTTGTTTGGCGGTTAAAGAGAATGTTTTTCACTTCTCATGAAGGCACATCACTTGCAGCCTCCAAACGAAGTAACATCAACAAAATCACGTTTTAACTTTGACAAAAAATAAATAAATAAATAAATAAAGAAAAAGAAACAAAAAGAAAAACACGATCGCCTTGTTATTCTGTGAAACAAAGAACCACACTTGCAATTAACAATATTCTTCTTCATCACAATTCACATGGCAAATAGAAGGTGAGATTTCAACGTGCTTAAATTGATGATCTGGTGCTCGTGATCCCCCGTGCACCTTGCTAAGAAGGAAGCTATATATATATATATATATATGTACGTATAGCTAGCAAAATATCTTTGATTTCTATGATATTGATATAAATCTCTTTTGTGGGCTGTGATATGTTTGTTTTTGTTTGATTTACGTTTGTTTGTCTTTTTTCCATACTTTGCTCCTTGATAATACTTAGTAACTGAAATGACATATTCGGATTCGGCTAATTGGGAGTGCCCATTGGTGAATGTTTTGTTTTTGATTGATCCATTTGCAAATGTAGGTTCCATTTGGAGCCAAGTTGGTCTTCTTCTTAGCTGGAGATCTTATTTTGCATGGTGGGATTTGGAACGTGGCACATCTTAAATTGGTAATTTTGACCCAACATTTTTTGTTTTTCCTTATGCTGATTGTATTTTAGAGGCTTGTGTTTTTCGGAACTAACTATTGTGTCTCTTTATTCATGTCTCTTTACATGTCATTTTAATAATATTGTGACACGTCAATTAAAAAATTCTTTTCACGTTAATTAAAAAATCATGACGTGACATATTATTATTAGAGAGACACGAAAAGGGACAGAAAAAATGGGCATATGAAACCCATTTCCTGTTTTCCTATATTGGACATATAAGATTAATGAATATATTTTTTGTTTTTTAATTTCTGGTTTTCCAACGCAACATTTCGGTAACCAGATCATTAGAAGGTCAAGAGTTTTTCACGTATAAGATAAAAATAACTATCTAGTTTTCGTATGGGATTCATCTTGAGACGTTGAAGAAAAATTTATATAAACATATCTAATATTTGTGTGTGTACATGCATATTTCTCTGATAAGAATTAAGCATATCCAGGGGATTCTGATATTTTTTGAGTTTTGATTTGATTGAACCATTTTCTAGCATGCATGTCGATTATCTTTCTTGTTAGGAAGAACCATTTCCTTTTGAAGGGAAGTTGATCAAAGATTTATATATATTTTTCTTTGATCTTATCGCATTGTTTATTTGGATAATATGGCACATATGTAGAAGTGGTTTTGACCGAAGATTTTCATCTTACATTGGAGCCACTTTTTTCCTATTTATTCATTTATAAGATTGAGTATATGGTTTTCTTTTAGGTTTGTAAGATAACTCTTTTACAGCAACCGCATTAAAGGAACGATTATCGATCTTCCCACGTATAAGATATAGCTTTTCCGTTAGCAAAATATTATGTAAATGAAAAATGCCAATGTTATAATTTTAATAATTTGCAGCTTTTTAAAGGATATAATTACATAATTAGTGGGTGTTTCACATCGGAGAAAGATCATCTTATTATACTAGGAGCTAGAAAAAAAAAATCATAGTCTTTTTTTCTTCTTAATTATTAAGCTTTATAACTTGTAAAATACACTTGATTTCAAAATAAATTGAAGCCTATAATGTTATAATGTCTATACATCAACATATCAATCACTATAAAATAAATGTCAAAACTTAGGATCAATTTTAGTCTCGAAAATTTAGTATATTCCTACCATTTTTAGTGCTTCCCGCCATATCTTTCTTTGACTAAAAAACAACTTTAATGGCTAAATCCACATGTACGCAACTAATCAATTGTAGAAGATTTTCGGTATTAAAAAAAAAAAAAAAAAAAAAAACCTATGATTCTACCAAGCGTTATCGTGACTGACGGAGAGTAATTTTCTGCGACTACAGATATTATAAGCTGCTAAAAGTTTAGTGGCTGAAAGTACAATTTTTTGTAGTAATATAGTAAATTGATTTTCTATTCAGATATTAACATTTTATATTGACACGTTAATTTGACTCATTATTATTAGTAGGGGTCGCAATTCGTATTAATGAGTCGTGTTCATATCAACTTGTTTAAATTGTGTCAAAAAATAATAATTTAAACACGACTCATTTATTAAATGTGTAAAAAATGCCAACACAAATGCGACCTATTTATTAAATGTGTAAAAAAATATCAATCCAAACACGATAAGTTTAACATATCAACGCACTTAGCATGTTTAGATTAATATGTTGAATATATAATTGATACAAATGATTTTTTTAACACGATCATGATAAGTTTAACAATTTTATTAGTTTATTTATCTTTTCTTTAAAAAAAATAAAGTTTATTTATAAATTTCAAAACTCATGTAATTGTATTTAATACATTATATAAATTTTTACATCATGTCACATATAATTAATTTACAAATAAAAAATAATTTATCGTATCAATTTGAAACACTTTATATTAAAAAATTAATTTTAATTAAGTCAATTCATTTACTAATGGTGTTAGTAGTCTCTTGACCTAAATTGTCACCCGTAATTATTAGGTATGCTCGCTGTTAATTACCATTTTTCCCTCGCCAAAGTATTGTGTAAACATTCAAGGGGGGGAAAAAAAGTATGGTGTAAAGAATAGGGTGGTTTAATTTAGGTCCGACAAGCCAATTTACGAGAAGCCAATAGTATGCAGGAAAAATCTGACCAGTCCAATGCGATCATTGATAGAATGGTACTTTCTTAGCAGAAGTGAACAAAGCATTTCATCACCTGCCATCAGATGACGAACCATTATAATTATTGCGTGGTGGAGTTTGGGACAACTATACATATATATATATAGTATATCAATATGCCTTGAAATCAGTTATGTGGTGGATTCCTCGCTTTTAAAAGATTGGGCCAGCGTTGATGCACAACCAGATGTTCCCTGGCTCATTAAGTACCTTTTTTTTTTTCAACTTTTATTTGCTATTTGTTATGTATTTATTATCCTTTTGGGAATGAATCGCGCTAAAGTTTCTCTCTTCACACAAGTGGCCGGCCGGTACACACGAACAAGATAAATGCAGGGGCTCGCAAGAATATATATATATATATATAGCTCACCATTTAGATTTATGTATGTCTCGTTCACTTCGTAAATTTAAATTTTTAATTCGAGTTGAGATGTGATATTTTTAGAGAGCTTTTTATTGTAACAGAAAAAATTAGATGTGATATTTTTTAAGAATTTTTTTCTGTAATCACTTCGTAAATTTAAATTTTTAATTCGAGTTGAGATGTGATATTTTTAAAGAGCTTTTTATTGTAACAGAAAAAGTTAGATGTGATATTTTTTAAGAATTTTTTTCTGTAGAAACCTAAAATTAAAAACTCGAATCGGTGAAATAAACGAGGCCATAGTCTAATTTTTACTAAATTATATACTTTACTTACAACCCACAATATATGTTGTTCTAAATTTGGACTCTACACAGTACACACTGGATCAATTTGAGAGAGATATAAGTGGAAAGTTTGTTGTCTATAAAAAAAAAAAAATGGAATCTGTGTTTGATTCAATTGTACATTCCTAACGATAAAAAAAGCTGGTACGTAGGCTGATGCACGGTATCAAAGAGGGGATTTCATTGGCGGAACACGGTAAATGCTCGGTTTTTGTTTGGAAAAATTAAAAGGTACATAATTCAATCACTGATCTTATATTGCCATGATATATAGTATATTACTCTATTCAATGGACGAAAGGATTAATTTTGATAACATTTTAAAGTTGAAGTGTAGTGTGCATGTCAAGTATTGAAACTCAAAAGACAAAAGTAAAAAAGTGACTAAAATTCAGAAGAAAAAATTAAATTAAATTTTATACGATTCGAATGTCATGGGTCATACACGTATTATACACATAGGGTTTTTTTTTTTTTTTTTTTTCCCTTTTTTTTTTTTTGTTTTGGATAAGCAAAAGAATGAGAGAGAACAATTAGAAACAAACTTTAGTGCATGCTAGGAAGTGCCTACAATACTTCTACGACACTTTTATACTAGTGACTTAACTGTTAGAAATGGTATTTTTTGATGCTTGGTTAATTTTTCTTCACAAGAAACTTAGCATCTCAAAAGTCTCACAAATAATTTAATGAGTAGTGAAACGTAACAACTATTTAT